TTTTTGAGTTCACTTGGACTTAATGACCATTTTTTAACATGGTATAAAGCCAGGTCCATCTATATTTTTGGTTTGTCCAATATTACACCCCCATGTATATTGTTCACGCTCCAACATTCAATACTTGACGTGGGAGGGTGGAAGTAGAGTGTATATGTGAGATTCCCACATTTGTTGAGATTATATGTTGTCTCCTTATATGGTCTTGGCAATCCTCACCTCCTGCTAACTTTTGGAGTTAAATTAGAATTAAGGTCTATTTTTAACATACAGGCAATGTCTTAATCAAATGCCTAATGGTATGATCAAAGACGATGATTGTAAGCCATGTCCTCAATCACGATCTCGAATATTTTGGCAAAATTGCCCAAGTCAAATTCCTTCAAGTCATTTTATGAGACCACTAAACCTAATTCTTTAATGCAAAAGGTGCAACTTTTCCATGTAAGTTATGTTGTTCCCTCAGAGTTTATAATGCACTTCTCCGATTGTTTTAGGTTGCAGTAGAAACAAACTTCCTTACCATGTGCTTGAAAATTCAGTTCAATTCAACGAAAATTAGAAAATACAAAAACATTGTTGCACTTAGAAAGCCTTACGTCCAATTATATTTAGAGCATCACTTTTCACAATGGCCAGGCAATACATTAGTTGATTCTGCATAGGAGACAGTATTTAGTACATATACAGGAAAGGCAATAACTGAAATTAAAAAGAAAATATTGTGCAAGATAGTTGAACGATTGTACCTGTGTGGATATGACAATAATTGGATCATTGACAGCAAGTTGGCCTCCCCCACTCATAGTTAGGCTTAAACTAGGAATCAAGCTAGTATTTGCATCAGGACTGTCCAATATGAATCATAAAATGATAAAAGGGAAAAAGAAATAAATAAATAAATAATATGTGTGGTTGTGTATTAGTAAATATTACCTCATATCATAACAATATTCAAAGGGGATCCTCGGATCAGGTGGACGCCGCTTGTCTCGTACTTGAGAGTGGAACTATTGGGGAAGAAGACATTTGAATCTTAAACATTATCTAACAATGTATACAAATAAGTACCATTTGAAAAGGATTCTTACACTTTCTGAAAGCTTTGTATAGGATAGGTCCGCAAGATAAGTAAAGGAGGTTCCAGTATCAAAAAGTGCTGTAAAACCTGAATCAACGAGAGTTGTTCCAACACGTATTTGATCTACAGAAATGTTATATGTTGGACTGCAAAAGGTTTTCCACAAGAGCATGACTAAGTGGATCTAAAAGAGTCGGAAGGAGTGGACACACAAAATTTAATTGGCATGATTGCCACTTACTGTAATGGGTTTATATTAAAAGGGGTCTCTTCCTGATCAAAGCTACCCTTGTCGCCAAAATTAATCCGCCCTGCCCCATCACTACCAAAGCACATGGAGAAAGAATCTGCCATAAAACCTTCCTGAGACAGAATACTAGGGACTGATACCTTCTCTAGACCAAGCCCAAATAAACCATTTGGTGCTGCAACATCTAGAAAAGAACCAGTTTGCTCCTGTCCACAACTGCACACTTGAAATTGGCATGTATCAGAGATGAATTTGAGAACTTGGACAGAAGCAGAAGAACTCCTCAGTTAACCAAATGTGCTTTCCATACAACACATCTAGCAGTTAAAAATACACTGCCAGAGATCAACCTAACGCCCAAACTTGATATCAATTAGAAAAAAGAAGTTCAGGATACTTACCCAAAGATCACACGCGCCTCGACAAAATTTTTTTCCTCACTATCTTCTGTTCTCAAGTGCAAAATATCATCCACCAAAATTCCTGAAGTTGAAGTTTCCGAGGAGACATAGGATACTGAATAAGGGCAGTGGTTATTTGAACTGAGACAATTATTGCGGTCTGTACACAAGCTATCACTGCAGGTGACCTTCTTGCTAGTTGACGATCCATTCAGGCTGTATATGCTAAGCTCAAAATCCTGAAGCAAAAGACATAATCCACTTCAGCCGGAGTGAAAAGGAAACAATATAAGAGAACCACAAAATGAAGTGCATCTCATTTCTACAACGGTCTGCCTAACCACCCTTATAAATTATCTTGCAAATAAAAGTTAACAGTATATTTAATCCTGCCATCTTTATATTAGAGGAAGATAATTCTATCAAACCATGGCCTAGAGGAGGAAATGACAAAATGAATGTACAAAGTTTGGACTAAGGATGTGATGGAATCGAACAATTAATAGTAAAATGGTAATCCCAACTGGAAAACTAGGCAATAAAAGCTGTCACTTCACAAATCAATTGTTCATCAGTCCCCATAAAGTTCCATAGGGTAGAACTACTTAGTTGTCTGTTCACAGTTGACAACAATGTACAAGTGAATTAGATACAGAATTCTACGATCGTGCATACTCTCGTGAAAGTTTGGTTACAAAATTCTCTTTGGCTGCTTCACAAAATAATGGCATCCAAAAGAGTAGGACCCGTAACTATTATCCCCTTGGCATGTGATCATTGTCTAGTTTACTGTACCAATGTCTTATCAGAGCATCTAATTACACTCATGAGAGTCATGGTATACCACATTCCTAAAGGCACAGAATTTTGTGGATGCTATTGCAGGCTTGCAATGAATGACAGTTGTTTTCACTTTTCACATGAAAAAGGTCATCATTTACTAAGTCACAGGGAAGCTCTCGAATAAGCTCCTCAGATTTCCATCATATGCATCTTGTGCCTAAATAGCATAGAATATATGGATGCAACAAAATGTTCTAGCTGTCAAAGGCACTTTTCATCAACCCTTTATGTTACACACCACAATGTTCCACTCAATATATCATTTCATACAGATATAAGATAAACCCAAAAAAAGAGAGGAAAAGTGAGTAAAACATACAGAGCTGTAAAGTGTAGGATCATCAGTAGAAGCACATCTGCCGCACTCACAAGGCACCCAAAATAAGTCACTCCCAGTATCAAGAGCCACAAGAAACTTCAACCCAGGTGTCCCCAAAGTCACCGTGGTGTAATGCAAGCTACAAAATTCATCCCCCAAAACAAATTCAAACTATAAGCTCAAGAATCCGAGGGGGAAAACCAAGAACTTCAAGATTAAACACAAAAATACTCTCAAGAAATGGAATTAAAAGAGGGATTTGGTTTGGTCTTACAATCCAAGAGAGCTGATCCGGAAAGTGGAATTGCCATCAGAGAAAGTAAGTGGTCCATCAAATTTGAAAAGCCTCCTGCCATGTAGGAACCTATCATGGTTGGCCAACTGAGTATAATACTGGAGACTTCCCTTTACCGGCCAATTTTGTAGTGGACCAGCAAGTTTCTTGACAGTTTCAGAGAAACGGTGGTGCATTTCAAAAGTGAAAAGACGGCCATGACATTGTCGAAATGGGAAAATTGAGAGCAATGTTAGCAAGAAAATCACAAAAGAAGACATTTTTCGTTTCTAAGAAAAACTCAGATCTTGAACTGTAATGGCGACTGAAATAATTGGGTTAGGTTTACAGAGGGAGAATCAAGAAAACGAAAAAGAGAGAGAAAGAGGAGTTAGTTAGGGAGAGAGTAAATTTTGACAGTTGAAGAAAGTCGCCCTACTCCATTATAGCTTCATGGGGAAATTTCCCTTAATTCATTGCTTGCTTGCCTTCTTTTTTTTTTTTTAATGCATTTGGCCTTTTATACTTGAGATCAATCACGACATCATGATAATTTAGCGGGTCATTTCCATTGTTTCACTTATTTGGTGCTGGTGAATAATTTTTTTCACGGTATAAATTTATATTTTTGTATTATAATATATTTTTATAATTTCATAAAATAACATAAGTTGTACTCTCACTTAATTTTTAAGTAAAAAAGTTTGATTCACAACTAAAAATTTATCTCAAAAAAGGCATAGATTTTACAAAGTCTTTGCTGATAGAGATATGAGTTCAATTTCAAAAGTCTATGTAGGCATAACTTAGTTCCTACAGGACACATTCTCTAAATTTATATCGAATGAATTATACACAACTTATGCTTGATAAGGTAAAAATTCTCTAAACTTATATCGTGTATAATTAATTAGGTCAGATAAAAATATTTAGCCTACAAATTTTCATTAAATTGAACAACATATATCAAATGGATAAGTTGAGTCCAGTTCTCGGATGTTATATTGTGCAATGTATTTGGCAAAATTCAACCACCAAGATTTGTATAGTTGAAATCTTGGTACCTTTACTCTAATTTCCTACAAAGTGCTTATGTAACTTTTGGTTTTTAACTTATAATTTATAAGTCAAAAATCTAATTTATGATTTCTCATTTATTTTTGTTATTCTAACTTTAAAATAAGTGTTTATAAATATATTTTAACTTTATTTAAATACTTCAAAATTACTTAAAAGCTATTTAGGTTCATAAGTACCTAAAATAAATTAATCCGCTCTTAGCTCTTTGTTTGTGTGTTAATTTCTGTTTGTAAATTTTATAATAAGCTGTCAGACTGTACTTTAAAGTTTTTTAATAATGAAATAATACTATTGTATCTGCATGAGTCATGACAACGGACAAGACAAACTCCTTTTTTGTTTGTTTGTTTCTTTCCACGTAGGGCATAAATATTAAATATTCTTCAACTTTATAAACTTAATTTTTTTTATACTAATATGTGTTGTTATCTCTTTGAACTGACACGTTCATTTAAATCTTTAAAATCTCAAAATTCTCCATATATAAATAACTTTGTTTAATTCTCCATTTTAAACCAAAAGAAGAAAAGAAGTTGATGCATTAATTGCTCAAATACGTAAGCTTTTTACTCAAAAGAACTCAACATTAAATTAACAAATATTATTTAAGTACACGTCACTTTCAAAGTTAACACGTACTATTGTCTACTAATAAAAAAATCTTCCTACTTAATATTTACATAATCTAACATAACACTCTTGCACTACGCAAAAAAAAAAAAAAAAAAAGTAACTCCCTTTAAAAGGGATTTCTCATACATCTTAACATTAAGTAAACAAAATAGTGAAAAAAATTGTGATGTTTGTGTATTTTGTCAAGCTGGAGAGACAGAGGTAAAACCAAATTTATCAGACAAATTAGTTCTTGTTAAAGGTGAAAAATGTTCCATTTGCTGAATAAATTGTACATCCTGTACCAAAGGATTACTTGTTCTCCCTGGAGGAGACCCTGAGTAACATGATGGTGAATTTCTTCCATCTCTTGTCTGCATTGCCAAAGAAAAAAAGGTCATTAAGTTTGCGTTTCGACGTACATTTCAAATATTTTTCACTTTATTTGAAATTTGTGGAGTTGGAATTGAAAATTGAGTTCTCTAGTTATACTTTTTGCTAAAAATATTTGAAATACTGTTCATTTTTTAATGTACTTAAATACAACTTCAAAAATGAAACGTGAAAATAGGTTATAAGTTATTTTTCAAATTTGAAATATATAACTTCAAGTTGAATTTGAAATTTTCATGCTAGACACTATTTTTCAAATAAAGTGAAAAATTATTTCAAAAAAATGAGTAATTTTTATAGTCAATCATGTCTAAGAAAACCAACAATTGTCATCAAAATAAGAAGTAATAATAGAGTTGCAAAACTACAAAAGAATTCCGCGAAAAATCAAAAGGCGTACGTATTCAAGATTTAAAGTCATTAGATAACAAACCTTTTCAGCAACAATGTTGAGAATCCCACTTCTTCCATCAAAATTCTTCTGGCTGATCACATGAATTTCCAAATATTATATATTTCTCAAGAAATCTAACAAACAAATAAGAGAATCATATAAATTGAGACGGAAGGAATACCTGTTATCATTGCAATTTAGGGATTTGAGGAATTCAGGAAGAGTAGTAGTGGATCCAAGTTTTCTAGGTTTAGGGCAAATAGGTGGAACATCATTTTGCTCCTCAACAAAAATGCTCTTCACTGAAGAATGATACATCTCTGTCTCCCTTAATTTGTTTCTCTAATTAAAATAACATATAAAGAAGAAAATTGCATTAGTTCTACTAATTAAATGTCACAAGTACCATTACTTGTGACACTTTCTATAACTGGTCTTGTTTATTTATACCTTTTCTTGGAAAATGTTTTTTTACCATAAGTTAACATGTACCACATGTTTTGTCTCAAAGAGGAGGAAAATGAGAGATAAAATAGTGATAAGTTAGTTAAGTGTACTGGCTTTGTACAGAGTTAGTTATAGTTAAAGGTTGAATGATACAATTAATTGCTTGGCCAAGATTTTACGTAGGGTAAGGTCTTAGACTTGACTTTGTTTTTCATATATCTCCTTAAGTTTCTCATCTTGCCTATAATTCATTTTGTCCAAGTATTTAAGGTTCCTAATATTCATTTCAAAAATTAAATGAATTATTATCTGTTTATACATACATTTACGAAAGTTGAACCTCTTTAATCATACAAGTAAAATTGTTCAAATTTAGATAAGCTATATATCACGAGTTGGACAAGTTAAATAATTAAGGCTCAATTTTAACTTTATCCGTCCATTTGATACCCTTACACACAATTTTATTTTGTAATAAACACGCAAAATATACATTTGTTATTTTTATTTATCTTCTTTCCTTACATGTGAATATACCATGAATATCATTAATTCTTAATCATTGTATGTTTAAACTGATTCCTCACCTTCTGGTAAGAACAAAAGAAGAAGAAAAAACAATCATGCCCCCTAGAAAAGAGCATTAAAGTTTTATTGAAACAACATATTAAAATGAAATGATTTCTAATTATAATAAGGTGATATTATTTTTGAAACGGACTAAAAAGAAAATGGTATCACGTACTAAATATTTTGGCATAGGGTTGACCTACAATCATATGCTATAACGTGAACGCACGAGGAAACAGCAAACAAAATAAACATTTCTCCAAGAACCTTGTTATTTAGACTTATCTTCCTGGTTGTAAAGCAATACTACTATTTTTAACTTGAAAAAAAAAATACACTCCAGCTGTTACGACTACTAGGAAATGTACTATCCAGCAATGCTGAAAAGCGAGGACAAACGAAAAGGCAAACATCAATGAAAACTTTAGTCCTTTGAGAAAGCCAAAGGTATATAATGTTTCTCCCCCAAGCGAATCGACCAAACACGCAACAACCCTAAAGTAACTTGAGCAGATGTTGAGGTAAACAAACAACATCTATTCACTCTGTAGATTGGTCAAGACCTGATCGTAAAAATACAGACTACTACTACTACAGTGGAACCAGGTTAGACATTATAAGCCAAATATCTGTTTCCAACTAAACGTTCCACCCAAAGGATGAACCAAGAAAAGAGAAGAGAGATCTGATCGATGCAGAAACACATCCAATTACAAATAAGAATATATACAAAATGTCAACACAAATCTTTGCTTTTATTCACAAGTGTCATGAATTATATGTATCCCAATCAAATGTAGGTTGTGAGAACACCTCATAATCAGTTGGCCCTTCGACAATGTTGTCAACAGTCTGTATGCCTTGTAATAAAGCTGGCTGAAAAGAATCATTATCAGAGGGTAAAATTTTATACATCACGAACAATCCAAGTGTGAATATGGCTTGAAGCTTAGTTGAGTCTCCTCGTACAGAAAAGAAAAGTAGCATTGCAAGGAGGAACAAGTCAACACAAAACCTCATGATAGATAATACAGTATCCATCAACCTCCCATCATTACCAGCAGGGAAACCTCGCACTCTGTATACAAACAGGAAGTTGTACTTGTCAACTACATATCGGTACCCAAAGTAAACTGCACCAACAGGAACCACCAGAGGAGCAAACGAACAATAGATCAGGGTTAGGGCAAATATTGTCAGATTGAAAGCATAATACTGTGCAAAATCGAACTTTGGCTTTGGAACTGGTGAGGTTCGGCTGACTGGAGGGTATTCAGACAAATCTTGTCCAGGGAAATCAATTTCATTTGGAGAGGCATCACGTAAAAATCCATTGTTGTCAGCAATCACAGTTGAAATCCTTTCATGAATCAGAGGCCTCTCCAAACTATCAATGTCTTGATTTTCCAATGGGCAGTCCTCGCTCCTTTCTGGTACCAGCTGAAGCATGTCATTTTTACGAAACTTTTGAAGCTTCTTCTTAATCCAAGGAATTGGAGCTAATAAATCAAAAGATATACCCAAGAAACTACTTGTAATTAAAAATGCAAGAGACGAAAGGCATGTCCTTGTCAAAAAGGAAGCAGTCATGTACTGCTCGATCTTTTTGCAATCTTCTCCATCCAAATAACACCGACCCATACTTAAGAGAGCACCCTCAAGAGTCGATTCGACCAGAGCCCTAAGCAGAATGAGATTTACCAGAAAGAAGCAAACCATTTTCAGTAGCTCAGCCCTTTGCTCACCAGACACAGTAAGATGTTGTTCAAATTTTGAAAGATAAGAAAGAACTGAAGGGACAACAATGTACATGCTCACAAAAATCAGAACATTGGGCAAAAATTGAAATATTATTGTTGCTAGCCAGCTCGAGCCCTGCACCCAGTTTAGCCACATCTGAGCATGATCCATAGCTTCAGCATTGATTATTCGCCCTGCACTTTGAATAGCACTAATCACAGCTAGTGGAGAACTGCAGAATAGAAGCATCAACAGTAGGCATGTGTTCACCAACACTCTGCGCAACTTTAAAGAGAACTTTGTCGATCCCAGGTGGTTCCAGTATATGTCAGTGGCTAAAGGAGCTCTCTCTACTTTCCACTGGTTCCTCTGTAGTTGCAACTCAATGACTGAGAAGAATCGACCATATCTCCTCCTCTTCTCATTTCGGAGGTCCTGGAGAGCCTTATTAGCTGTAAATACATCCTTAAATACCACAAAAGCTACACCAGCACCTCTTGCCCTCCCTTCTTTATAAGATGCCATTTCCATCTCCAAATCAGCTCTCAACTCTTGCAATTTTCTCAACCTCTCTTCATCTGAGAAGCCTAATTGATCCATAACACGATACCATGTATCCTTAGCCTTTCTCCACAGGAAGCACAGTCGTGCTAACAAACCCCGTCCATTCACACTATCATTATCATATTCGTCTTCCTCACCCTCATTCAAATAACCCCGTGACTCAATTCTTGACACTAGTTTAGAGATATCTTCCCGAACCTTCACCAACTCTGTAGCTAAATCATCCAAAGCACACAAATCCATAGGCACAACTACTCTATACACTTTCCCTGGATATTTATGCTGAAAATACTCCACCAAAGGTGTTTTATCAAAACCTAAGGTTTTAGGTACACCCTGCACCATAATGGTAAAAATTGCACTGACATTCGTACCAGAATTACTCGGATTTCCATAGCCGTCTCTAAGTCTAGTAATTTTCAACCTTTCTTGTATTTCACTTATACCATAGTGTACCAAAACAACAACAATAACAACAAATATAAAGTGAATCCAGAGTAATGGAGAACCTTTTTCTATATGATTTATTGTAGTCTTTGAAAACTGATCAGCCATAGGAGCCTTACCAGCATATATATTCAACGGCAGCATTACTGCAAGAGAAAGAAGGGCGAGGAATAATAGCAGGGCGGAGCTGCCGCCCTCAATAAGGAGATATTGAGCAGCGTCGGCCCCGCAGTGGCGGGCGATTTCAACACCAGTGGCGTGCCAGGCAGCTAAGAGCTTGGAGATAATGGCAGTGGGACCGGGCATGCGACGGTGGTCGCTTCGAAGCTTCCCGAAGATGAAAATAAGAAGGCAAGTCAAAGCTCCAACGGCGGAGATATTGAGGAGGTATTGGATGTTACCATACCAGGCGACGTCGTAATTGAAGTCTCCGTCACCGGCGGACGGCGGAGGAGAGAAAGTGGAGTTGGCTGCCATGAAAGGTGGGTCTGCAGAGAAGCTGGATTGGATCATATTGAATTGAAATTGAGATTCATCTAATGTTAGGGTTTTGGCGGGTCGCTTAATTGCAGAACCGATTGACCCGAGAAGGTGATGAGAAATGAGGATATCGAAAGGTAATTCCTTTGATGTTAAGAATTAAGATCCAATTTCAGGTTATTAAACCCCTTTTAATTATTAAAGCCTATCATAATGACACAATTAGTAATTTTTAATTGGTTTACCTTTAACCACCATGTGGGAAGGAGTAAACACTCACACAACCGAAATTGCTAGGCCCCATAGAGATGACCCGACTTTTTTCTAATGGGCGAATACGATTAAGAGGCCCATATATTGTGTTACTACAACAATGGTACGTACATCCATCACAGATCTTTGAGCAAATGATGGTACTTGATAAAAGGAAAAATCACACCATATACACATTTAAGGGTCAATATTACAAGTTTTAAACACATTCTTAAAATATTCTTACTTATAACAGTTTATTTACGGGTTATAACATATTACTTAAATTTAACTTTATTTAAAAATTAATTACAGGTTTATTTAAAAATAATTAATCTCTTTATATTTTTATATTATTAATTATTAAGAGCTAGCTAATATAATTTCAGTTCCTTTTTTAAAATAGAAATTATCAGTTACACGAATTTAGGGATTTACATTGATTAGACTTCCTTTTTTACCGTTACACTCCAATTAATTTTATTTAAAAATCAATTTCCATTTATTTAATAAATGATTAATCTATTTATGGTTTTTTATTATTAATTAATAATATGTAATTAAATTGATTTCTGTTCCTTTTTTAAATCTGAAATTATCAGTTACATAGATATAGGGATTCACCTACAACAAGTTTCCTTCTTTACCGTTACCACCTCCCATACGTCAATCCCACCCCCTCCAAACCGCCCATACGTCAATCCCTCCCCCCTCCCCCCACGCTCATCTAGTTCTACATGCCATTAACACACTAGCCCAATTTTACCTTCATCTATCACATCTTTCTCACCACCAAACTACACTAACTTTACAATCCTCCATTCAATTTAGTTTTTTCAACAAAATCATGTCGAAGAAAATGGTTGTAACTCCTCGAAAGATCCCTCGATTAGTCGAAGGAACTTCTACGGATGAAGTTCATGCTCCATCTTTCAACATTTTGACTCAAACACCGCTGCCAAACATTGTTGAAACTCCGGCTAGGGGTGATTCATCTCTATTGAAAGATCAAAAACAGAAAAAAAAATGACTCAAATAAAAGGGTGAGTCCGATAAATCGAAAGGGGAAGAAGAGGAAGGGGAAAAATGTTGAAACCCCTTTTGATTCTGATTTTGTTACTGAATCAAAAAAGAAAAAAAGAAAAAAAATAATGAATGTTGAAGTTGCTCAGTCGTCAAAACCATCTACAAGAAGATTCAAAAAAAAAAGAAGGAATCAGAAGTCCCAACACCTAAAAAAGACAAAAAAAAATTGTTAGGGTAAATATTATATTCTATTTATTTTCACATTATTAAAACTACTGATTTTTTCCTAAAAATATCACATTATTCTTATATTATTTTCGAAATAGTTGTTTGAATGAAACGTGTATGAAATCTGATTAATATGTGTATGATTCTGATTAAACAGTTGATTGATGGATATTGTATGATTTGTGATATAATAGTGGTATACAAATGGTATGAATTGTGTTTTAACAGTAGTGTGATTGTCTATTAACTGTATATATAAAAAGTGAGAATGGCGCGATCAGTGAGTGTGAAGTTACTGGTACGATTGCTAGCAAATTTGGTGGACCTCGCATAGCAAAAGAACATGTTCCGGATACCACCAATTATCCTACACCAAGACCACGTACAAGAAATTTGAAATAGTTGATTGCACCTTCTACTTTTTTAGAATTACATGTTTTTTTTTTTTTACTTTTGAACAACTTTTTTGTATTTAAGTATTTGATGATATATAATATCATATGTTTTCTTCCAATCAGATACCATCTACATATGAATTACTGTTTAGCTATTATAATTTCAGGATACTAGTAATATACAGATTTCATACCATTTGGATTCACTATTTTAAAATATCAGTGTGAATCCAAATTGTACAATTAATGGATGAAACGTGTGTGAAATTTGATTAATATGTGTATGACACTCAATTTAATGTTTGATGGTTGGATATTGCATTAATTGTGATATAATATTGTTATACAAATGATATACATTGTGTGATTATATGAAATTGATTTATTGTTAATTAATATGTGTGATATAAACTGAAGTTCGTGTTGGAATGAAACTTGAATAAGATTGGTATAAAGTTTGTTATATATTACACTATATTTACACTATCTTATATATAAATCTGAAATAAATTTTATTTCCAAGTATATTAAATCTGTATAAATAATTAATGAATCGCGTATATGAAATCTGGAATCTAAAATCTGAAATTTGTACAAATATTTACACTATCTTATATATTAATCTGAAATAAATTTTATTTTCTAGTATATGAAATCTGTATGAATAATTAATGAATCATGTATATGAAATCTGAAATCTGAAACCTGTACAAATAGTTACACTATCTTATATATTAATTTGGAATAAATTTTATTTCCAAGTATATGAAATCGTAAAGAAATCTACATTAGCTTTCTTTTGATCTAAAAAAACCCGCACACCAACATCATTGTGGATACTAACAGGGGGACATCTATCACTAACTATATATTTCATCTCTATAAAATCTGATTTTTAAATTAATTTTAACAAATTGGAGTGAATTAAGGAAACTGAATACTCTTAATTAGTTTGAAATCCCTTAATTCATGCTAATTAATAATTATCTTAAATTAATTCAAATTTAAGATAATCCCTATTTCCGTTTTTTTCATTTTTTCCTTCAAAAACGTTTAATTTTAATTTTTTTTATCTTTTTATTCTTTTTAAATCAAATGTTTTTAATTACTAAATTATTTTTTTTTTTAATAATATGTTACAACCTGAAATTTTTAATGTTATAACTTGAAAGTCTAAATCTACTGCTATAACTCGAAAATATTAGTATAATATATGTCATATTAGAAATTTTCACTTGATAAAAAGACTATTACAATCTCAACAGTCAACACATTCAAATCTTAATTTATTTTAAAAGAATCTTCAATTCAGTCCAATTGAATCTCCAATTTTAATTTGTTTTAAATTTTTTTTATTTACATTGATATAATGTATGTTTCTATATTGAAGGTATGAATTACTATATATTTTATATCTTTTAAAATTTATCTATCTATTTGTAAAAAAATTTTAAAAAAAATCTTGAGTCGAAATTCAAACTATGGTTATAAAAGTTAAATAGCAATATGTTAAAATAAGTGACATTAAACGGGTCAAATTGGGCGGGGCTTGACCCAACTCAATTGTTAGCTCATTTAAGTCTAATTCATTTGAGCCCAAAGTAAACTTGACGGGTCAAGACCCAACTCAATTTTTATTTCAACCCATTTTAATATTTCCAGTTTCAATCCAACACACTCATTTCACACTCCTAGTTGAAAGCATCTTTATTTTCCTTCTACAATTCACTTGTTTCTTTTGTCCATTAATTCCTATTTGCTACTCCTAGTTTAAGGAAATAAATTAATTATTTTGAAATTAACTCAATCTCAAAAATTAACTCAGAATTGTTCAAATCATATTAAAAAAAACTCATTCACCCCGGTTGATGTAGGACTCTTTATCGCCAACTTCGAGTGATTGGACCTTAAAATCTTTGAGTATCTTAGTTTACCCCATGAGTCGTGATGATATATATTAATTGTTGGGTTCAAATCTTGAGATTTAGTGGTGTTGAATACTGAATACTCAGTTTGAGTGCTGTGCCTCAAACCTTTCATAATTAGGCGTTTCTTATGGACTCCACTGCTTCACCTTTCCTTTTCTTTGTTGACTCCATAATTTGCGCTCTCATCTTTCGTTACCTTCCATCATATACTTTTCTACACTCCATATTTTCCTCCCTCTTTTGTATTAAAATATTTTATGAGACTAAAACATCTAGAAAAGTCTCATTATGTAACATGATGTATATATAGTGGTAAAGTGGTGAGACCGTTTTGCCCTTAATCAGAAGTTTTGTGTTCGAATCCTGGTATGAAGAAAATCATGTTGAAAGTGTCACTCCTCGGTCTTGCAGTACGTGATCTGAATGCAGATGTCGCGGATTCTGAGCACCGAAGTGGGAAAAAAATATTATATTTTGAAGTAAAAAAAAAACTCTTCACTTTTTTCATAAATTGTTTATTATTATAATAAAAAATACAAAGTTAAATCACTTTGGTAACAAATCTAATGTTGTAAGAACCATTCAAAACTGGAATTAAAAATATCTAACAAAAAGAAAGAAGAAAAAATGACTCTTTCAAGGAACTAGACTACACATTAATGACGGGGTCAAAAAGGAAATGTGCACCTGACCTTTACCCCCTTTAAATAAATAAGTGATGTATAAAAGATGATTAGTGCATAGATCATGGGTTGACATTAATTACAACCTGCAAATTTTGGTTAAAGGATAAAGCAGACACTATTATAATGACCACATGCAGATTAGATTAATTTAATAAAAAAGAACAAGCTATTCTTGTAAAAGAAACCATATAATATGCGGCTTGATTTGGTCCGTACAGAAATAATTAATTAGGTAACGACTTTAAAAAGATAAAGAAAATTGGAATTTTATTAATGTTTAAATGAGGAAGATTAAAAGCTTAATTTGTTGACTTAATGATAATCACACTTGGCCTGTTCAATAAAATCAAATAAACAAGAGTAGCTTAGTCGGCTCTTAATACATGATCTCTTATTAATATTTTGGTTCGTTAATATTTTATCTGTCTCATCTTAGTTGTTCATGTTCCCTCACATTTTCAAAACTTTACAAATTTATTTACATTTAAAAAAATAATTGTAAGGATAAAATAGAAAAAAATTAATTACTTCTATATTTAGTTTATAAATTAATTAATAATTTAAAATAATTATTTTTAATAATATGAATAATTAATATGAGACGAAAGGGGTAATAATATCTTGAACTTTTTTTTTC